AAGGAGTGGGACGAGCTGACCACGCAGTTTCAGTGGCGAATGCGAAGTACGCCGTGTGTTGCTCGCGACAACCTCACACCACTGGAGATGTTGATACAAGAACCACTAGCAGTAGGTGACGCTGAAGCTGAATCTCTCACCGACCAGTTTGACGACGCAGTGCGACGACGACGCGAAAGACAGAAGCTAGTGCAGGAGCAAAGGAAGATTATCACCGAGTACCGAAGTGGACTTTTGGCACGGCAACATGCAGCGAAGATTCAGCCTCTTCCTCGTGGTCAACTAGTGCTTGTACAACTGCCAGAAGAGGACCGCAAAGTCAAGAGTCGTTTGTCAGGAAATTGTCGTGCCGAGCTGTTTGCGATCGATGCTGTCTATCAACGCAGCTACCTGTTGATGAATCGGGACCGATCTACGAAGTTGTCCATCAAGAACCCTGTTAGCATGGAGCGAGTCGTCGACACTAAAACTCATATTGATGACTATGCTGTTGAGTCACATCGATTTCAGAAGGATGGCAAGCGCGGAAGAATTTGGTGCATCAACACGTTCTGGAAGGAGGACCAAGGAAGAGCAAAGTGGGACGATGATGGGGTTGAGTTTGAAGTTGATAGTTGCCGTGATTTCATGAAGGACAAAGTATACGTAGCGGGGTAGCTTTAGGTAATTTACGTGGGGGGAGTTTGAGTAATTTTGTAGTCGTAAATTCCCTAGCATCTGACCGTTTTGTTCTTGTTCCTTGCCGCCAAGAGTAGCGTCACTAGTTCACAAGAATAGGCCGCAGCTTTGGACGTTCACATTATTCGACTACTAGAACACGACGCGGCATCATCTCAATATGTCAACTGGTGATCTGGTCTAATGGTTAAGCCGTTCAGATGTTGAAAGTATCGCAGTAGATCTTGCAGGTTCTATTCCTATCGGCTGCCAAATTTAATGCTCCGTTTCGTAGTCATCCTTTTCCTTTCTTGGTATCGTAATCCTCGCGCATCATGCTCAGCGATTAAGATTGGCGTAGTGGTTAGTGAGTTCAACTACGGTTTTCATGGTCTGAAAATAGGGCGGCTCTATTCCTGGTAAGAACACAAATTCCCAAAACATGCGACTTCATGAGATTTCACGAAATAATAACCATCAACAAGCCTAATCAAATAGAAAAGTTGGCCCAATGGTTAAATGCCCCACCTTGGTTCCGTGAAGTCGTTGCATCGAAGGTTCGAATCTTGTTGGCTCCATTTAAAGCACCTGATCACACCTTGGCCATATTTTCAGAATATAAGAAACTTCCGTTCTCTTGCATAATCGAAGCAGGTTGACCCAGTTGGTATTAGTACTGGACTCATTTTGGCACATCGTGGGTTCGAGCCCCACATTCTGACATTTGCAAATCCAACCTTTTCCACAGGGAAAACGCGACCTTGAGCCCTATAAGGCCAGGCGTCAGGCAGTACAGCCTACCAATAGATTTCCGACAAAATGACCAGTTCAACTGTGAACGCCTTGCAACCTCCATCACAATCCGCATAAGACCACCCAACTCCGTACGCCTTGTATTGTTGTTCTGAATCAATCCGTAGGTTTCTTGTCTTCAGTCACTGAGACTTCAGTTCAAATCGTGTCCTCATCCTGTTGAGGTCATGAAAAACACCGTACAGAAACAAAGCATTCGAGCATACACAGAAAGTAGTTGTAGTTCAATCGGTAGCATTCTTCCCTACGATTAGTATCGCCAAGGTTCGAAGACTGGAACCAATTTTTTCGATGAACCCTGAGACCATAAGAGTAAAAGCAAAGTAGAACCCTCGGCATTACTATTGCCACGTAGTCCAATCCGTAGCGCGCTTGTTTTCGCCTGTCAGCACTCACGTTCGAATCCCAGTAACGTCATTTCCTGTTCTAGTAAATTTGTCGGTGGCAACGACGGTAGCTGACAGTCAATTTTACAGCCTCTGCGCGTAGTTTTACTTACCGAGTGGTGCTTCGGGTCCATCTTACACAGCGAGAACGCCCTCGCCTTCCTTTGGCAGCGCGGCTGAGCGAATCGCACTCGCAGAGCCACGCCGGGGCGTTCTCGATGCGTAAAATGGGCTCGAGGTGGTCTTCGCTGTGGCTCGTTTCTGCCCTCCCAAACCAGGAAAGACGAGACGACAGGCGCGACCTCTGAGTGC